AGAGGTTGTTAAATTTTGCTATTAAACACCTCTATGTAGAGCCCTGTATTGAAACACAGAGGCACTAGAGCTAACGTATATAAAGCCTCAAATATTTTAACGCAGAATGATGGGCTAACGCTCTCCAGTTCATTAATACATTTCATGTAATTTAGAGATGGAACTTCCAGGTAATGGTAGATGGCAGCACTTTCATTTCTGAAAAAGAAACGACTCTTCAAATAATTGTAAATGAGCGTGTAATAGATATGTACAAGCTTACAGATTATGGAAAAAGTAACAAAGATGGGATGAGACTTAAATACCAAAAGCTTTTCATCCCAGAGAATAACCCAAATGTCTGATCACTTTAATGGCCACTGTATTCTTACCGAGAGTAAGTACCAAAAGCTATAATCTTGCAGTTCGATTTTGGTAACTGAATAGGCTTTGGGGTACAATCTCTGCAGCATTGCTAGTGTGATCCAGGTACGCATTAATAATGTACTTCCTTCCCCCCTCCCCCCCATAACAGCTTATATAACTAAAGTTATCTTTTCTGAAGACAGTATCCTAAAACTAACTGACCATAGGTGCACATGAAAAGCCTGCCCAGTGCTTTTTTTTTTGCCATGCAAATAAAACAAATCTCAAAGGCTTGCTGTAAATGCCAACGTTATATGTTTTATTTTAATCAAGTAATTCTTTTAAACCTCACAATATCCATGACTGACAGGAAAAAAAGACATTAGGCATGAAATGAGAATATAAAATAGATGATATGTAGAAAGGCAATCAGTGCTTCAGTCCCTCAAGACAGTAAGCAGGTGACACGACCTTCAAAACTTCAACTGTCTTTTTCTTAAAACATAAAATTCAAGTGATTTTTCATTTATTTCACCTTGTAAACAACATACAAGTCAAAATGGACAATGAGGTAATCTATACTACAGAAGATAATTTAAAAACACTAGATAAGACACAGTATTAAAGACATATAGAAATCAGTGTTCACTTTGGTCTCTAGTATGGTTATTGTTACTATTACCACAAGCAACACATACTAGTTTAAGCCAGTCTGGTGATGTTTGTCAGCTAGTTGTTGCTTAACTTAGTAATCCAAGAGGTAGTCAAAACCATTATCCTTTGTAAAGATGGTTGCTCTTACGTTTGGTTCAATGACAATGGTAGCAAATACCTTGGTACTTTTCAACATTCCGTAAAAACACTGCCAAAGCTGCCGATATGCAGCTCCGGTTTAGTATCAAAAAAGAAGCGAGTGTTCATAGATCAACCTCTTGTTATCGGTCAGCAGTTGTAACAGAGGTAACACAACCAACAGGTCTTAAAGAAGAGGCTGTTGATATACTAAGCAAAATAAGATTGATGCATTTAACAAGGCTCTGCTTGTTTCTAAAACAATACTCAAATCTCATTAAGACTTCTAGAAAATTAAAACCAGTGCATCTGCACATGTACATATCTTCCCAATTACTTTTATATCTAGCACAGGGGAATACATATATATTTTTTATGATAAACATTTCTTACAGATAAATTAATTAAATTAAATTTAAGACTCAATGAGATTTCCCATGCTCTTTTATAATTCTTCTTACAAAGAATGTTACAAGATCTATAAACACTTTTTATGGGGCTCTATTCACAAAACTAAGCATG